CATTCATTCCTAAAGCGGAGGAGCCAGGACTTCTGCTTTCTGTCTTCACCTCTGCCATTAACTGGCTGCACAGTCTCGAGCTAGTCGCTTGCAGTGTGTCCTTCCGCGCTGCCGAGAGCCCACTACTCATTTCAACCGCTCACCCTCTGGAAACTGAGCCGGCAAGTGCCCCGTGCCCCAGCTTCCTCCACAGGACAAGGGGAGCATTTGTCACCCAGCTCACGAGGGTGTCATGAGACCTCACGTTCCCTGCCAGAGGTGACAGGAGCAACCTACATGCAAATGCATAGATCTGCAGGTCTCCCCCTTGCTTTCTGCACAGAGGAGCGGCCAAACTCCACAGTGGAAGGAACTTGTTCCCACCCGTGGACCTTGTCCTTTACAACAGCGTGCGAGTCAAGCTCCAGCATGAGATAAATTGTTCTCTGTGGGCACCATCCATCTCCGGCTCCTGCCGACTCAATGACAAGCTTCCCCTTTTCCACCAGGCGAGCTCCGTGCCCCGAGCAAACCTCCCTCCTGCTGGAGGTGAATGAGGACGTTGAGGCCGAGCATGCAGGCGTGAGCACTGGGAGCTAGCGAAACCCTGCAGTTAAGGCGTTACCTGGGTGTCTGCCTGCGGGGAGCCATGCTTGCAAGCAAGGCACCCAGCGGCAGGAACAGCAGGGCAGACCCTCCCTTCCCCTACCGCTACCTTGCGAGTCTGCCTGAGCCCCTGTGGCACACTCGGTGCTTTTTGGATGACGAGAGGGGGCAGTCTCTGCCCCAGATTGCTCACAGCCCCAGGAGAAACTGTCAGAGGCCAAAGAGGAAAATCACCAGGGACTTTCTAGACTTGTTTTCTTGTAAGGAAGAGTGGGGTCTCTCAGACGGATTTAGGAGAGGAGAGCCTGCCTCTGAAGTCTGCCTATGCAGCAGGGATGACACAGGCAGGGTGGAAAGGCAGGGCAAACCTCAAATGAGACCAGACCCACGTGTACCCCTGATGCCTGCTCCACGTCCTGTCCCTGTGGCTCGTGGTACGGATGCGCCTGTTGTGTCGCAGAAAAAGCTTGCTCCGCGGGGAATTCAGCCTCTCGCCCGGGCCGGGGGCGGGGGAGCCCACAGCTGAGCTGCCACGTCACTTGTGAGGGGCAGGGAGTCTGGGGGGAGAAATGGAAACCTGTTGTCCTCCCTGCGCTTGGATTTTGGGATGGGGCCACAGAAGCTGCTTGAGCTGAGAGCAGAGAGGTGCCTTGGCCCGCTGCCCGGGGGAGGATGGCACAAGTCCTGCCCCGGCTGGACCTCTTGCCTGGGTTAGTAAAGCTGCATGCAGCTCCCGGCAGGTAAACCCATACCACGACTCTGCTCCTCGCTGAGCACACCTCTGATTTCATTAGTGCCTTAATTCCCCTGGCATGAAAGGCTCTGATGGCATTTGAGCCTGCTATTCCCCACACTCTGCGCACTGTCTATAAACACAGGCTGAAAGCTTTTTCCCTGCCAGACAGCAGGCACCCTCCTCTCCCCCTGCCTGCTGGAAGATAAAGGCGGAGGATTCAACCCCAGCTCCAACAGATGCCAGCTTCTTTTGGGAGGGGGCAGCTGTGACCTAGCAGGCTAACCAGAGGGCAGGAACCCCGAGACCTCAGCCAGCTCTGACATTTTCCTCTGCCATGCTTTCCCCCTCTGTTAAAAAAGGAGAAGGCATCTCGGAGATCTCGGGATGAAAAGGCTCCATCATTGCTGCTAGGCACTTGGGACAGTAGGCAACGTGCAGGAGGCAGGGCAGGAGCACGTGGAGCAAATCTGCAGCCCCCTTCTTTGCACACATGCTTATCCAGCAAGGTGCATAAAACAACCCAAAAACCTGTTTTGTGAAAAAGCAAACACAGGGGGTGCAGATGCTCTGTTTTGCAAAGGCCAACAATTTTGAACCACTGCCACGAGCGTTGAGACATGAGGTTATACTCCAGGATGCTGATTTGGGCACAGAGTGCCTCCGGTCAGTGCTGTCCTCCTGCCCCGGCCCCTGCGCACGGCTCAAGTGGCGCGCAGCAGCCGTGCAGAGCACACCTGGCACCAGAGCATCAAGGGACCAGGGTAACTGGCCCATCTGAGAAGAGCCAGGATCAGGCCTGGTCTGACCTGCAGCCAACCTGTGCATCCAGGGGAACATCAAGGCACCTCGGTGCCCTCTGCACCCCGCTCCCTGTGCTGTGCTGTGCCTTCACGAGCTGGAGCACCAGACCCAGACTCATAAGAGAATATCTTTTAGCTAGAGAAACCTGATAACATGTGCAAACGTCCCATAAGGTCCCTGCCAGCCATGCTTCAAGTCCACGGCGGTGAATGGATGCAGGCTATTAAATATTTCTGAGGAAGGGGCATCTTCTGCAGCTCCAGAACCACCACACCATGGCTGCAGGTTACTTCAGGACTGGCCTGCGTGGATTCCCTCTCTCCTTGCTGCTTCGACCCAGACGCATTAAATCCAGAAGCTCCCTGTGTTTGCAGACGCTAGACCCCCTGCATTCCCACAGCTCCTAAAACCAGAGGAGTGCTATGAAAGCCAAGGAAGCTACATCACGGAAGGACTGAGAGCAAAAGGGAAAATGTGAGTTTGGGATTGCTTTCAAATCTGGGTCTATTAAACAGCGTATGGCTTTAAATCTCTCGGTTTACTGCTGTTCACAGGCCTCCGGATATAACCAACTTATTTTTAGCTGTTTACTTATTAAACAAACATAAGGGAAGGCAAAATGTCAGGGCAATTTAGCATGCTGAGCTGGACTTTGTTCACATACTCTGTCATATGGCAGTTCTGGACCCTAGCAGCTTTCAGCTTCAAGGGTACGGGGAGAAAAGGGGCCAGTCTACGAAGGCAGTTTCTCATCGGAGTCCCCCAACCCTTGCAAGCCAAACGCACTCCAAGTTTGGGGCATCTATCTCAGGGACTAATATGGCCCCCATTCCTGTGAGAGTGCTTGCAGGCTTTACTGTATCTAGCTTCTCAACTTCCCATGAAGGAGGGAAATGTTCTTACTTTCTCTCTCTTCCCAAGTAGGAAACAGAGACAAGAGGAGGCTGAAGGAGAGAGTTGAGAGGTATCTGAAGTCAGGTGGAGTTAGGTGCCAAAAAAAAAAAA